TGTCAACAGACATTTGGAGACAGACAGCTGTTGAGAGGGTGTGAGAGTCTGACGATGGTTAGAGTGCACGGCTGATCGGCGTGGCACACGTGGAGCTGCTGGAGAAGAGTGAGTGTTGACACGTGTGGTTCTGTTGTCACACTGAGGAGGAAGTGACTCAGACTCTACTTCCTGTTCGAAGGTTGAGATCAGACGAGGTCACTTCTTGTTTAAAAACAAGCAGAAGTTGATTGATTGACAGTTTAACGTGTTCAGGCTGTTTCAGATGAACTCTGACAAAATGTTGACGAGACGTTAATGAACCTTGTTGTATGTTGAGGTTTTCTCGTTCACTGTCCAGTGTTTCGTCACGTGTGTAGTATGGTAACACTGAAACATCCAGTTGTACTCGACATGATTTTCGTGGTTGTGGTAAACATTTCCATGGAAACAGAGAGCGGTCGTCACACTGGAACTCTGAGAACTGTGGTTCAGTTATCACCTAGAGAGGTGTGGACAAAACGATCAGGATCTTTGCTAATTCTTCAAACTTGTCCTGAAAACAAACGAACAAACGTCCATGAGTAATTCTCTAAATTCAACAGAGACAGAAAATAATAAATCAGCCGGTCACACAGAATCTGAGTCGCTCCTGGAATCTTGATATGATCTAAATAATTAGCGACAGCCGAATAAACCCTGAGGAACAAACTGTGATTTTTATCTGAATGTTTTTCTGAGACGACTCCGCAGAGCGTCCAAAAGACAGAGACAGAGACGAGTAGAAGACAAACAATGAAGGAGACGGGAAATATTTCACATTCTAATATTTTCTCTGCCCAGCTGAGCGACACCTGGCTCTGATTGAACGTCTCAGACATTCACGTTCCCCTGAGGACGAGCCCTGCGGACTGTCTCTGAGACGGACTGGTTCGATCTCAGGGTTCAAGGGTCAAAGGTCACAGGGACCTGGAAAATATCTGGAATCTGGAAAAACAACGTCGTAGAAATAAGTAGAGATGGAAACAACCTCAGTGGATCCTCGCTGTTTCATGAGTCAGGAACATGTCAGGAACATGTCAGGTACACCTCAGGAACACGTCAGGAACATGTCAGGTACACCTCAGGAACATGTCAGGAACACGTCAGGAACATGTCAGGAACACGTCAGGAACA